ACAGATTATATATATATATATATATATATATATATATATATATATATATTTACTTTAATGTTATATATAAAGTAAAAAGCATATACTGTATATATCAAATAGAAATAGTATATAGAAAAGTCCATAATTGCCCTAAAATTAACAAGACGTTTATAAGCAGTCAGGAAATTGAAATAAACTGATATGTTAAAAAATAATATAAACGTTCTTTCTGTTTCTGTGTTGTGCTCCGTCGTACACACTAAACTGCTTTTAAAACGACAGTGTCTGCTATGTAATCCTCTCTCTACTTATAATTATTTCATGTCCAGCTACTTAAGCATATTATTGCTAGGTGTAGACCTCAGCAAATGCCTGCTATTATGCGTGGACCACACTTGACACATCTTTGACAGGCAAAATCAATACAAATGTAGGCAAATTTGTACATACAGTTTTAGAATAACCCTGCTCAGAACATTTTTCTCCTTTCAATAAAGGCCTTTATTATGCCAAAGTCTGTCTTGTTCCTGTGGCAAAGTCTCTGAAAGCTAAATCCCCTGTCTTTATGTTCTTTAAGCATTCTGAGGTTCCTAAGCCAATCTAGTGCTTGCTTGGAACATGTCGAGCATGAAATTCAGCTTTCTTTCTGAATTGTTTGGTAGCAGTCTTACCCCACTGGACGGAGAAGAGATCCATTCCAATTCTGTCTGTTGTGCTTTGGAATCCAGCAATATAACTGAAAGAAAAGTCACAACAACTGAAATTATTTTTCTGAGTTTCTTTATTTTTTTAACAAAACAAAATAAAAGGCAACAAACATGCATACAGAACAAATAACACAGCAGAGTGACTGTAATGGAAAACACCGGAGGAAAAACTCTTCCTGAAAGTAATGCACGACCTTTGCTTTTTTTTAAACCTTCTCCACATTATGTATGACATTACAAATACAGATTTTAATAGAAAGTTTCAGGCAAACTGACGACATTTTACTCTCACATGATACACAGAAACTGGTCCTGAGACATTTCAGGGTAGATTGGGCCTTCCAGCTCCACATATATAACATAAGAAACTATCTACCCTACCGAATGAGTCATATATATAGAAGAATGCACATAGTGCTATATACCAGTGTTGGTTGCCAGTGTTGGAGTATATTGGCTTGTATAAATGCAAGACTGAGAGAGGGTAGAAGGAGTATCTCTCAGGAGGTATTGATATGTGTCTAAAAAAAAACTTTTGGGCATGCGACATTACATAAAACATTATTTTTTTAATGAATTAAAGTCCAATAATTTAATATTATTTAATGTTTTTAATTGATTTTTGTACAATAAAATGTATTTTACACAGAATTTCTCGTTCTATTGGTTTGCCACCTTGAAAGTCCCATAGATAGTTTCTTATAAATATTCAGGGATGTGGTGCCTGGGTCACTCATCAATCCTTCATGAACTAAAACTGTAATGAGCATATATCTATAAGCATTTAGGTATTTATGTATGCTGCATTGTAGAAAAAATGGTATTTGGTGTGAAAGGAACAAAATAAAGGCTATATGAGTAATATACAAAACACAGATAAAACAGGGGGGAAAAAAAAGGAGAGATTTGCTTTTCCAATAAAAAGGATTATTATACAGGATTTATATAGCGCCAACAGTTTGTGCAGCGCTTTACAATATATATGGGTTTATTAATTTACATCAACAGCCAAGTTGCTAACTGCTTATTTACATAGCTACGCTATACTTTGCATTCTTCCTCTGTAGCTTTACAGCAGTGACGGATACTACTGTTTACTGAAAGCGCACTGTGATCCAGATATTCATTCCCATAATATAGGACCCCTCTACACTACATTGCTTTTGATAAGGACTCTAAGCCCTTGGCTAAACCCAGCGTACAAGTCCTGAGCACACCCCAGGAGTGAGATGTACTTTCCCTGCTACTGACACACTGCAATATCCTACTTCATCTGGCTCCATCCCTCTAACAAAACATACCACACAGAGAGCTGAAGCACAGCCGAGCCCTTATCTGTGAAATTGAGGTTGACATTCTTTAAGATCACACTTTCACCTCCCTTGCATTCCGTATTCAAAGGTTCACTTCTTCCATGATGTAACAAATGAATTGAAATCATCATGCCCCTGTATATGACTCTATGAAAAGGCCCGTGCTTGTGAATCAGTCGGTAAATTAGGTAATTAGGCGCTAGTTAGGTTCTGGCACTGTACTATGCTTAAATAAACACACTGGTTGAAGTCACACCTGGAATAAACCAACAAACGCTGTTCATTTGTCTACGGTGTATTCCCAGGCACCTGTATACCCTATTTTATTTTGCCTATTTACAAACATTGGAACACTAGCATTTTTTTTTTTTTTAATATGTGTGCATGTGGAGTTCTATAATTGCAAAAGGAGAAGCGTTCTTCACAATATTAAATATACATTGGTGCTGGTATGCTCTGACTTGGCATCTGCATGTAGCAGAATGAATAATAAGTGTGCATAATTAGTTTACATTAAAATTTGATCCATTGTGCTATTCCACAGTGAAGCTGATGGACCTCGATTACCACTGCTTAGGCTCAGTATGTGTGGCAGGATTACCCCACAGCACAGATTTCTGCATCACTTACTGGGTGTAATGGTTCTACAATGAGACGTGTGGATTCAAGCAGAAGGAGAAGAAATAGATATGTTTTGCCTCCAAGCATCGGAGACTGATCTCGCTGCTCAAATCCAAATTCCCAGGACTACCACTGGAAACCTGCTCCAGGATAGGCAGCAGTCTATCCTTATCTCATGTCGGAGGAGCTTTTTGTGTCCTGTTTGGCTGGATCATTCACTGCTGACACTGAGCTGTGATCTGCATAATGCATTCACACCACTCTGGGGGCAATGATCATTCTGCAATCCACTCATACACCTAGACAGCGTTCCTTATGAAGTGCCCGGGTCCTACTGCATGATCGATCTACTGTGCTTTTATTGCTGTGGAACTCTGCTCAAAGTTTAATCGCCCCCCTCCAAGGCACACACACACACACACTCGTTCTCAGCATCCCCACACCACTCCGTTCCCTAGACTATTTATACTGCATTTAATAAAGTCAGATCAAAACCGCATTTCTTCTTACATCTCAACAAAAGAGAATCTGGCTGGATTACATGATGATGTATAAAGTGTGGTCACCCATAGCAACCAGCCAAAGTCCACCTTTTGTCGGCTTAGGGCTGTCAGACCAACTAAAGGTGATTGCTGATTGGCTGCTACGGGTTGCCCTTTGTCTTCTAAATAAGCCTCAGTGGGTTGCAGTAAGCTCTGTCCCACATCTAAGTTGAATAACTGGCACAGACGGGGAGACAAACCATTTGTGCAGACTGTGCAGCTGCACAAGGGCCCTTTGGGACTTAGGGGCCCATTTATACTAGACATATTTCTGTCTGGGTGCTGTCAGGTAGACCTGGTCTGTCATCTATGCCTCAATTTCCCATAGGTACCATTGAGATGATATCATCTATCAAGGATTCGGCAAAGGCTACTCTTTCTATATATCTATCTTTCTTTCTCTCTATCTTTCTATCCATCACTCTATCTATCTATCTGTCTATGTATGTCACCTCTTTCTATCTATATCAATCTGTCTACCAATCTACATCTCTCTCTATATCAATCTGTTTATCTATCTGTCTATCTATCTATTTATCTGCATCTCTTTCTATTTATATCAATCTATCTATCTATCTATCTATCTATCTCCATCTCTCTCTTTCTCTCTCTCTCCATCTCTTTCTCTATCTAGCTCCATCTCTTTCTATCTATATCAATCTATCACTATGTATCTCTCTCCATCTCACTCTCTCGATCAATCTATACCTCTCCATCTATTCTATACACATGGAATAAAGTATTTCAGTAGTTGAATGGAGTGGGGGCACATGATTCTTGCACAGGGGCCACCAGCGGGCATACAGTATATACAGACATCAAGACAGACAGACAGATGTCTCATGCACCCAGCCAGCTATATAAAAACAGGCACATGCATGTACAGAAACAAAGACACATGCCGTGCACACATCCATGTGCCTTGGAAAGTGCTGATGAGCCTGTCTAACCCTCCTATAATTGTGGGCACTGTCCTGATGGAGAGGGCAAGGTGATAAGTGTAGAGAAGATGACACATGAAGTTTCTGCTCTCTACACCATGAGAGTCTTGTGATCACTCTGCTCCTTCTACAGGCTCTGCCTGGAACTTTACCCCCTCCAAGCCCAGAATGTCACCTAGTATGAGCCCCCCTCTTGTCACATCCACAACCCCGATCAAGTGGCTAGGAAACTAGTGCGCGCTGTGCTTTTGTTCTCAGGCTGGCGCATCCCCCAAGGGAGAGGCGATAAATAAAGATCGTTGTGATCAGAACGGAACAACAGACTCCTCGAGGGACAGCCCTAAACATAGACATTGCTCTGTCTTGCCATGACGTGCACACGGAGTTGGTGCACACTTTAACTCTGCACGTCCCTGGCACTGAGTGATGGGCTACTACAATAAGGAGAACTTTGCCCTGTCCCCCCCTCCTTTAGTGATCCCTACTGCCTTACCTTCCTTCGTTGTCTGTGCCTCCCCGATGTGTGCAAATAGAGCGAGCCACAAGGCGAATGTAATCCAAGAAGGGCGCCAGACACGAAGAACCATGGTGCACTCAGCGCTGCTAGTTGCTAGCAGTAATTCGGGAACTCTTCTTGTGTATGTGCTTGAAGTTATTGCAGTGCAGGGTGGACAGTGCTCAGGGGCTGCCCGTGCAGTCTGTGTATTGTTCTCATGGGTTTACTACGAGTTCCAGCAGTACAGATACATTCTTGTGTACAGTCCTTGCGCAGCTTCTCCAACTCCGCCGCCGCAGCTGCCGAGCACCAGCCTGCCAGCCTCTGACTGCAGCCCGGCCGATGCTTTCACACTCCAGTAATATCAATTAGGAGGCGAGGGGCGGGTACACAGCTAGGGGAGCTCGGAGAAGACAGGCAGCCGCCCGCAGCCTATCACGTCCCGGGAGTAGTCTCAACGTGAGCCAATAGAAGGGCGCACAGGGGCAGGAGTCTGGCTGCTTCCCAGATAGAGCGTGGCTCAGGATGGTCCACAGCTTGCTCAGCCTGGCGCTCCTGAGCGCTGTTACTGAGAGCAGGCATCTCCGGCATCCCTTCAGATGTGCGAGCTCCTTACTTGCCTGGTAATGGTGCAAATGGAAGTCGTGCCGCAAACACTGCAGTTTTAAGAAAAGTATTTTGTATTGGAAATCTCATTATAGCAAAAACATAAAATAATTTAAAGGCTCATGCACCCGAATAAGCATATAGCATCCCAGATAGCAAGGATAACTTGCCACAATCTTGTAGCAAGGTTAAATTGTAATTCTTGTTAACCTGCTGCACACATTCCTGGCAAATTGTAGACTTGCAGAACACTTGCAGTACAAGTTCTAGTTGACACTTTTTGAATTTGTAGCAAATTTGCTTGGCAATTCTACAGCAAGAGTCCTGCAGGTCTTAGCAAGAGCTCTGCAAGTGTACAGCACTTTTGCAAAGCATGTTGATCTGGAGACTTGCCATGCAGACTTGCTGTAATTGTGCAACACAATTGTGAAGCTTGGCAAGTCTGCAATAGTTTAGCAAGTCATTTTCAAACTTGCAGCTCAATTGCCTGCTATCTGGGATAGAATATGTCTGCATTTGTGGCCAGGGCTGTCCCTTAAAGCCCGGGTAGGCATCCTTTGCACGCCAGCTGTTGTAGAACTACAAGTCCCATGATGCATTGCAAGACTCTGATAGCCACATGTGTGACGCCCAGAGGCATCATAGTATTTGCAGTTTGACCACAGCTGGAGTGCCGATGTTGCAATGTGCTGTCTTCCAGGGGAGTTGCTGGCAAGGAATGGTCATTGTGAACCAAACTAACTTGCGCTAACGGAAATAGTAAAACTAAATTAAGATGGATTAAAATTTAAAATAGATATAAATATGACCCCGGACCTAAAATTTCTAAAACCAAAAAGGAAAAAAGCTGCTGAACTCAGGCTAAAAGCCTACAGAATAATGGTGTAATGAAGTGTACAGCGCTAAATGCCCTTCAGGAAATTAGATAACGGTAGGGATCATATGGTGTCAATTAAGGAATGGTCATTGGAGGGTCAATTGTTAGGTGCTAGACCTCGCTGTCAGCGGCTCTGTTATGTGTCTCCTCCAGCTCAATGGTGTCACTGGTTGCTAGGACTTGGCAGGAGCGTCCTGCTTGGCTCCTGCCAATCATTGACTTCAGTGAGATGGACGGGAAACTGCACAGAGCGTCACAGGTTTCTTAGAGCTCTTACCAACCTAGAACGCTGTAGCCGCCCCCACTACCACCCAGCCTCCCCACAATGGGATGCCACCTAAGGCAACCGCCTCATTGTAGGGATGGCCCTGTTTGTGGTGCCCAGGAGCTTCTGTGCTTTTCTGTCCACAGGAATGTGTGGTCAGAAAATGCTGTACGCAGATACATATGTGTTAATGCTGCTAGTGGCGTCTGCACACATAGGGGCATTAGTTCCTAAACATGAAAGTTTCATGTTTGGGAACCTACATTCATGCAAGTGTAAATGCCAACACGTGTGCCAGCGTGCATTCTGTCCATACAGTCTTATAAACAGAAAAAGGGAGGAGCTAGGGCTCCTGAGCACCACAAATATAGGCACATTTTACACTGTATACCTATACGCCTGTATTTGCTTCCTTGAATGAGCCCTAAGTCAGAACATCAAACATTTCAGTTTCAGGTATTTTGTATCAACAAATTTAATACAACGTGTAGTATGTTTAAGGGATCCCTCCACAATGGCTGGTAGAGTAACCGACACGTCTTGAGGGTCCAAAACACACACCCTTCATCTGGGCTTAATGAGAGAAATCCTGTGTTTGGACTACAATCCCTGCAGCTTGAAGGTTGTATTTACGTTGTCCCCCTCCATTTTTCACATTTATTTATTTGAAATACCTTTTTTTTGGAAATTGTCCCTGCACTTCCAGAATGTCGAGAATGACGTCCCTCAGCTTCCCAAGGCTTCTATGGGATATTCAAGTCACATATCCCTCGGGTAACTACAGTTTACTCTCTGCTATAAAATATAAAGTCATGCGGTGATAGTGAAGATTTAGGCCTCATGACGGAAAAATATTCCGCAGATGTGTATGGGAGTTATATTATTAACCCAGTTTAAAAGGGCCCCCGGTCACACTAGTAAAACATGTTATGAAACATGCAAAAAAAATTTTTGGCACATTTGCAGTTCCATTCAGTGTTAATAACATCAAGTAAAGACATGCAACAAACATGCAAAGCACGCCTGGTTGAAATACGTACAAAGCTAGAAGCTTGAAGTGGTGCTTGAGCTTCTTTGCCACGCTTGTCGTGTGTAGGGCAGACCGTTAGAATGTATGGGCTGCCCTATGTGCAACGTGGTACAAATGCACCCCAAATGTAAAGTTGGAAAACCTGATGACCTTTTGGGGTTTGGTGAGATTTAACTTTGTGAAGGGGTTTACCATGCAGTACTGTAATGTGCATATTCCAGCAACAGTGGTGTTAATGGTCCTGAAGGTAAGTTAGCTCAGCTTTGCTGATATTTTCTAATACATGTTCACTTTAAAATTAAAGACTAACCAGACATATCGCAAAGTACTGCAGTGCTGACACTACGATGGTGTTAGCATTTTCGAACCGAGTGAGTTAAATCGTAAAAATACATTGAAGTACCTTAACCATGAACAAAATTTTCGAACCGAGTGACTTGTATCAGTTACACGCTGCTTAGCTGTATCTATAGAGAGCAATGCATGCATTGTTGTATCACACAAGCAGAAATTTACATTTCTGGAGGCGTTCCGTACACCAATACTGTGCAGAGCGCCTCCAAGTTGCCATATTGCATACAGTTTTAGAAAATAACAGTGACTTCAGATTAAAATAGAAACATTTTTAATAACATCAAATTACATAATGGCTTTTGCAGCTATTTTGCATGCCATATTTTGTAACAAAAATTGAGTAAAGAAGTAAAGAAATAAAGCTCACATTTACTAATGCTGTGACCCAAAAATAGCAGATAGTGGGCTGATGCCCGCTATCCACTGACAGCGCAGAGCCGTGCCACAGTCATAGAGATTCCAACAATATTGTTGGGATACACCCCGAATGCCTAAGTGACAGATGGCTCTGCCTCTCTAGAACCAGAGCTAGCTGTGTCCACCCCCTCCCCATCTGTCCCTCCTATGAGCGTTGGAGAAACAGAGAGGGGAGAATCCCTGTGGGGAGTCATGACTGATAATACGGCTCTCTGTAGGGAGAAGCCGTACGTTGAGTGATCAGCGGTCACATGATCACTCAGCTCTCTGTATATAGAGCCAGTGTATGACAGCTGCAGTGTGCCACTGCTAAGCAGCATGGTAAGTATAGTTTCTTCTCTTTGCACTTCACCTTTACATTCAAGTTTTTTGTGCCCAAATATATCTCTCCCAACCTAATCAGACATTTTTTAATCTGGATAGAAAAATGGTGTAATCTACTATATATACTGTAAACCTTTCCAATGATTTGTCAACAGGGAGTCTTGCTGGTACACTAAAACAGCGTTTCTCAACCTTTTTTCATCAACGGCACCATTTAAAAGCATGAAAAATCTCAAAGCGCCGCAATTTAAAATGTATAAAACAGTGTGTGGTTCCCCCCACCCCCCAAAAAAAACAATATTAAACCTTTAAAGGAGAACTATGAGGTGAGCGAAAAGCACTCACCTCATAGTTCTAGCCGACCTGTGACAGTCTCATTGTCACAGGTCGGCTAGAACTATGAGGTGAGCGAAAAGCACTCACCTCATAGTTCTAGCCGACCTGTGACAGTCTCATTGTCACAGGTCGGCTAGAACTATGAGGTGAGCGAAAAGCACTCACCTCATAGTTCTAGCCGACCTGTGACAGTCTCATTGTCACAGGTCGGCTAGAACTATGAGGTGAGCGAAAAGCACTCACCTCATAGTTCTAGCCGACCTGTGACAGTCTCATTGTCACAGGTCGGCTAGAACTATGAGGTGAGCGAAAAGCACTCACCTCATAGTTCTAGCCGACCTGTGACAGTCTCATTGTCACAGGTCGGCTAGAACTATGAGGTGAGTGAAAAGCACTCACCTCATAGTTCTCCTTTAAGACAGGGATCTGGTATGGACTTTAAAGTGACACTAAACTCAGAAGTTAAATCGTAAAAATACATTGAAGTACCTTAACCATGAACAAAAATTTATCTTATTTGTGTATCAGTCCGCTGTAGATCCTCAAATTATTTCTGAATTCATGCTGACACTGTCCTTCCTTCTGGAGGTGGCTACTTTTGTTCCTCATGGTTCCTGTGTGTTGTAAAGTAGCCACCGCTCCAAGCTCACTCCTGTGATGGACTACAATCTCATACAAATTAGTAAACTAAATGTGAAATTGTACTATTGTAGTGCATTACAGGAGCGAGCTTGGAGCGTTAAATAAGATTAAAAAAATGTGTTAATAGTTAAAGGAGAGCTATGAGGGGAGTGATTTACACTCATCCTCATAGTTAGGGGCGGCATCGGCTCTATTGATCTGGAAGCGAGTGAACACATAGCGTCGCTCGTTCACTTCTCGATCGTCTCCCTGCAGTGAGCGGTGACTGCCAGTCATCGCTCCCTGCAGGGATTACCCCCCTCTCCGATCCTCCAGCACTGATTGGAGGAACAGATGGGGAGGGGCGGGCACAGCTGGCTCTGCCTCTAGATAGG